GGGGGGATGGTGGAGGATGGGAAAGGCAGCGGAGCACAACAGACACTAGTATGGCAATATGTAAATCAATGGATGTGTAACTGATGTGATTCTGCAATCTGTGTATGTGGTGAAGGTGGGAGTTCATAACCCACTTGAATCAAAGTGTGGAATATGATATGTCAAGAAATTTGTAATGTTTTGAACAACCAACAATAAAAAATTTAAAAGAAAAAGTAGAGGGATCTGGATTTGAAACCAGGTCTACACAAGTCTGGTGTTTATGTTCTAAATAATTTCCTTTATTTCTCTTCCCTGCATTAGTCCTAGGGTAAAATGAACTTTGCTGGATGATATATTGCCATTCTTTATTCTGTAATCAGTGGTTTCCAACTGATTCAATGAGCTTTCAGAGTTTGTCTTGTATTAATGTTTCTTATAAATGGCTAAGGAGTTCAAAGTACAGACGTTGGTAATGAATAACCTGTGAACAAATTGGAAATGATCATTTAAAGGTAAGTGAACAAATAAATATTAACTTACATAAATATATTAGTTAACTGTAAAAATTTGAAATTGTTTTCCTTACTGAAAATGGGATGCATGAAATAGTTTATTTTTTTATTCTTATATAAAACCCATCATTCATTGAATTTTCAATTCATCATTTTTTATAAATTAAACACACACACGCACACCGAGTGATATAAATCCAAATTAATTTTTCTATGTTCTTATATGTATACATCATAATGAGTCACACCATCATGTACATCCATAATAATGGGGTACTAATTATAATAAGACATATTCTACGCTTGCATAATTCTATCAAAATGAATTCTACTGTCATGTATCAGTATAAAAAACCAATAAAATTAAATATATATGTATACACACATATATACATATATATGTACATATGTATGTGGAAAAATTTATATGGACACATACATACATATGCTATTTTAGTAATTATTTTGCTTTACATACAAGCAAGAACCATCATTCTCTGAAGCTATGTCTGTCTGTGAATTGTGATCCAAGGGTTCAAGTATTATCTGTATGAATCATGGAGGAGGTTTCTTCAGGTAAGGAGGCTGGTTTCCTTAAGTGAGCACATAATAACTATAATTGGTAAGAGTATGTCATCCTAAACAATATTTCCACATTTTGAATTTGACCTCATGATTATCCTGGAAGATTAGTAGGTAAGCTATAAATGAACATCTCTGCCTGACAAGAAAGCCTCATCAATTTGAAACCTTTATCTTGAGATATTCCTGATCAGAGTGGGTCTTGTTGTAGTAAGCATTGGCAAATTATTAACTAAGCCTCTAGAGTATGGCTGACAGCTGACATATTATCTTCCTTACCTAGGTACTTGTTGCTGATTTGAATGTTTAGGGAATTGACCATACATTCTCATTCCTCATCGTTTGTTGGGTTTCCTTCATCTAGATACCTCATTCAAACAGGAACAAAAAAATCGGAGGCTTCAAGGTTGACAATTGAAGAGAAACTCTAAAAGAAGCAGCCTGCCCTGAAGTTCTTGCTGGAAAAGAAAAAATCCCCATTTTTTTCCTGTTGACCCAGACAAAAGGACTTGGGCGTGGGGACAGAGGTGTTCAGTGTGACATTCCATATCATGCATCTGTTGTTTGCTTGAACATAAGGTTGTTAATCTCAGGTTTCCCATTAGTAAAATTGGGATGATAACACCTAACAAAGACTGGCACTTAGACAATGAGCTCTCAGCTGTGGCTGTCTTTGAATACATCACTTATGGATTAGGAGGACACTCAAGTATAGGCATCATTAATTTCTTACATGTATTTCTTACATGGAGCTGGACACTTTCCCATGAATTCTCTTTCCATAAAAAATAGAAATAATTCACTTAAAGGCCAATTCACTTCAGATTTTTAAATAAATATTGGAGGAATAGTCATTATTTTTGAGACCTGCTTAAAGTGCATATTTTTCTCCTTCTTTTTATAAATGAGACTGTTTCCAGGTAATGGATGGCCTGGTAGTAACCAGTGTTGTATGACCAGGACAAGCATAGTTAATAAATCACAGTCTTCCTTCCTCATATATTGGGTTTGGTTTCAGAATGGCTCTCAGTAATTCATCCTGGAGATCACTATTAAATGATCAAGATTTCACTTGTTATAAAAATTCTTCTACTTTAACATTATTAACCCAGGGCATTTTGAATAATTCACTAGTTCATCCCAATCTTTATTTATTCCAATATATATTACCTTCAAACATATCTCATTTGTCTTTTTGAAAATAAGAGCTCAAAAATTAGAACTCATAATAACAATACAATATTCATGGGTGCCATCAAATTGTTGGTGATTATAATATTATGGACTGACCTGAAGCAAATTGTTTTTATCATACTTGTAGATTCACATAATCACTGTTGTTCTTTCACCCTTTCCTTGGAAATCATGCAAAACCAAAGCTTTGTAACTGAATTCATCTTTGCCGGGCTTTCACAGAATCCTACTGTTCAGAAAATAGTCTTTGTTGTGTTTTTGTTGGTCTACATTGCAACTATTGCAGGCAACATGCTGATTGTAGTGACCATCCTCTGTAGCCCTTCATTGCTGGGCTGCCCCATGTACTTCTTCTTGGCTGTCCTATCATTACAGGATGCATGCTTCTCCTCTTCCATCAAACCAAAAATGATAGCAGACTCCCTATGTAAGCAGAAAACCATTTCTTATAAAGGATGCATGATTCAACTTTTTGCTGAACACTTATTTGGTGGGGCAGAGATGATTATCCTCACAGCCATGGCCTATGACCGCTATGTGGCCATTTGCAAGCCTTTGCACTACTCTGCCATAATGAACTGGAGGCTCTGTGGCATTCTGGTGGGGGTGTCCTGGGAAGGGGGCTTCTTGCATTCCATCATACAAATTCTCTTTACTTTGCAGCTGCCCTTCTGTGGGCCTAATATCATTGATCATTTCTTGTGTGAGTTGTACCCATTGTTGAAGCTGGCCTGTACTGATACTTACATCTTTGACCTTTTGGTGATCACCAAGAGTGGGTTAATCTGCATCATCAATTTTTGCTTGTTGCTGGTCTCCTATGGCGTCATCTTGTTCTCCCTGAGAAAACACAGTGCTGAGGGGCGGAGGAAAGCTCTGTCCACCTGTGGATCTCACATTGCTGTTATGGTTTTGTTCTTTGTCCCATGCATATTTATATATGCACGACCTTCATCTTCCTTTCCCTTTGAGAAAGAAGTAGAGATAGTTTACACCATTCTGACTCCCTTGCTCAATCCTTTGGTTTATACATTGAGGAATAAGGAAGTGAAAAATGCCATTAAGAAAGTATGGAAGAGATTGGTGGTGGGTTTTACGGGAAAATAAAATACAGAACTGTGGAAAGCAGATGAGCCCCTGGTGATCAGCTGACCCTGCAATGTCAATAAAAAGCCAAGCCAGGGAAACATTATTTGCCAAAGGTAAGAATGTTATCAGCTTTGACTCTTGGCTCTGTCACTAACAGTTATCAGATGTCCCAGAACAATGGGTGTCTTTGGTACTGCAGGATAATAGCAGAATGTTTTTAACTCTGCAAAGAATATTTATAGTTCTTTAACTTTTAGTGTACAAAAAAGCCTCTGACAATTTACAAGCCTGGAACAATTTACAATGTCCCTATAGTTTAACTTCCTGATTCTGAGACCCTATATAGTGAACTTGAGGAACCAGTTCCGGATCACTGTACCTCCATCAGAGCACAGCATCCCACCTGGCCCTAGCTTTTCGTGATGATATCTCTGTTTCTTCTATGTCTCTGTGTTTTTCTTCAACTCCAGTTACCCCTACTGAAGAATAATTTGTTGATGCTCTGCAGATCATGGTGCAGTAGCAAAAGTATAATGTAAAGAGTAAAACAGTTACTATTTATTTAGACAAAAAAATTGATCATATGTCCCTCTATAGAAGGACATTACATAATTCTAAGGAGAAGGGATTCGTGTGCTGGGAGTTAAAATTAATATTTGCAATTTGAGATCACCCCTTCCCTCTTAGTTGGCAACTCCATACTCTTATTACATGTAAATTTAAGATAATTCAATTTTATACTTTTTGAAATGTATTTTTAAAAATGAAAGGAATTTACCCCATCAGAATGATTTCTACTCATATAAAGCACTGGAAAAAAAATTGTAGAAGAAAACATTAGTGTTGGCGTTTGAGTGTGCAGAGTCAGTAAGAATGTTAATGTCTTGATTATCAAAATCATTTAAAACTTGAATGACTGCAAATAATTCATTTTGTTGGACAGATTGATAGTTTGTTATTTGAACCCAATATTGATTCTCTGTCCAATAAGCACTTTTAGTTTTTGATCCATCAGTAAACACAGTAACAACATTGTCTAAAGGATATTCACTAATAATATTATTGATTACAAATTGTTGACGTTTTAGCATGTCCCATAATTTGCCCTTGGAGAAATGATAGGAAATACCTCCGGTATATTCAGCCAACGCTATTTGTAGCATTTCAGTCATTTGTACCAAGTAAGTCCATTGGTCTTTAGGTAATGGGGTAATTATGTGAGAAATGTCATTGCCCGTCAAAGTTATACTTCTCTGTCTTCCTTGTTCAATTAATAATGCGATCTGGTCAGCATATGGCATAATATTTTTAGAGAATCTATGTTTTGTATAAATCCATTCTAAAGGAAGCTCATGCTGTCCCAGAACTGCAGTAGGATATTGAAATGTATTTAAGATATAAAGAGAAATAGTGGCTTGCAAATCTATTCTCTGAAGGAATGCATTTTTAATGCGTTGTTCTACAAAGGTCAATTCATCAGAGGCTTCTTTAGTGATTATACAAGAGCTATTAAGTGCAGAATCTCCTTGTAACAATGAAAACAGATGACTTAATTGATAAGTAGGTATCCCCAAAGAAGGTCGTAACCAATTAATATCCCCTAATAATTTTTGAAAATCATTAAGTGTTTTTAAATTATCTCTCCTGATTGATAATTTTTGAGGAATTATCTTTTGTCTAGTAACTGTATATCCCAAGTAATTGATGACATCCTCCTTCTGTATCTTTTCAGGGGCAATTATTAACCCATAAGGTTGAAAATAAATTGGCAATTTTTTGTAATAAGTCATCAAGTTCCTGTTTATCAGGTCCTGAAAAGAGAATATCATCCATATAATGAGAAATATATAACTGAGGCCAATTTTTACGGATAGGTGTTAATGCTGCATCAACATAAATTTGACACATCGTATGGGAATTCATCATTCCTTGGGGTAATACTTTCCATTGATACCGAAGATGAGGTCCTTTATGATTAATTTGTGGTAAAGAAAAAGCAAAACGCTTACGATCAACAGGATGAACAGGAATGGTAAAGAAACAATCCTGTAAATCAATAACTACAATATGCCAATCTTTTGGTAACATAGCGGGAGAGGGGATTCCAGGTTGTAAAGCCCCCATGGGGTACATGGAATTATTCACTTCCCTTAAATCAGTTAATAATCTCCATTTACCAGACTTCTTTTTTATGACAAATATAGGTGAGTTCCATGGGTATGTAGAGAATTCGATATGACCTTGTTGTAATTGTTCCTTGACCAACAGGTGAGCAGCATCTAACTTTTCTTTTGTTAAGGGCCATTGTTCAATCCATAAAGGGTCCTCGGATTTCCACATAATTTTCAGTGGCTCCATCTAGAATTAGTTAAAATTGAATATAAGCTCCCCATTGTTCTAAAATATCCCTTCCGATTATATTAAGAGGAACTTCTAGAATGTAGAGTTTTAATACAGCTATTTGTCCGTCCTCTGATTGAATAGTTATATGGTTTAAAGCTTGGCCAATACTTCGGACGGGAGCCGAACTAACTCCCTTAATGTGACAGGGTATAATTTGATACTGAAAATTAGATGGCCAATCTTGAGTTTTTATTATAGTAATATCAGATCCTGTATCAATTAAAGTACTAATTATTTTAGTCCCTAGCTTTACTTTTATCAGGGGTTGCATTTTAGTAATTTGTGTGGCCCAAAAAACACTTTGCGTGTCAGTACTGCCAAATCCGCCCTGCCTCTGATTAGAGGAATCCCCTATGGGGAGGTAAGGTAATAAGAGAAGTTGGGCAATTCTTTCTCCTTTGGAAAAATGAACATCAGCAAGAGAAGACATTAAAATCTGAATTTCTCCTTCATAGTCTGCATCGATAATGCCTAAATGGACAGTAATACCTTTAGCATTAAGGCTGGAGCATCCTGTGAGCAAAGCAAAAGTCCCTGGAGGTAATGGCCCAAATGTTCCTGTAGGTATTCTTTTAGGCATAGCACCACCCTGGAGATCAAAATCACTTAAGGCTGGGATGTCCACGGCGGCACTATGTTGGGTTGCAGGTTGTAGGGGAAAGATTGTGGGTTGCCCCCGTTTATTTGTCCAGGGCCTGGGGTCCGGCCCGATGGACCGTTTCCCTGAACTGCAAGAGTGGCTGCATTTTTCGTTCTACATTCTCGAGCCCAATGTTTACCCTTTTTGCATTTAGGACATATTCCAGGTCCCCTAGTTTCCTTATCATTCTTTCGCTTACAATTTTTCCTCAGATGTCCAGTCTGGCCACACCCAAAACACTTCATGTTAGCCAAATTTCGATTAGTATTCTGTAAAGCATGCCATGTAGAGGCCATGGTTTCAGCAAATAATTGCATCTTTCTCGATTCTGATGTTATATCTTTGTACACCTTTAAGTATGTATGAATATCTCCTGTATCTTTAATCGGTAAAATGGCTCGTCTACAATTTTCATTAGCATTTTTATAAGCCAGCAAACGTAGTAATTGTTGCCTGGCAGCCTCTCCTACCACGGTTCGTTCAATTGTCAATTTTAATCTAGATAAAAATTTTACATAAGGTTCATTGGGTTTTTGTGAAACTTTTGTCCATGAGCCATAATGTTCTCCAGTAAGTCTAATTTTGTCCCAAGCTTCTAAAGCTATTTCCTTCAATTGCTCATGAATCTCAGGAGGAATATTAATTTGATGTTGAATGTCATCATACATACCAGTGCCAGATAACATAGGGTATCCTATGGCACGAATAACATGGTTTTGACTGTTACCATTTTCTCTAGCCTTAGTGGCACATCCTTCTAAAAACCACATGTGCCATTGAAGATATTCAGGTTCCTGTAGAAGAGCACGGCCCACAATCTTCCAATCCTCAGGAGCAAAATTATTATAATGAGTAGCAAAAGCATAAAGCAATGCTTTTACATAATGGGATTGAGGTCCATACATTGTCACTGCCTTTTTTAATCTGCTAATATGATCAATATCAATCCCCTCATACCGAGGTGGCTGTGCCATTCCATTAGCTGGATCAGGCCTGATTATAGGAAAAGCAAAGAAGGGAGTTTCGTCCTCATCATCAGAACGTTCTGAGTCCATTTCCTGGACAGCCTTTAAAGAAGCTGCCAAAAAAGGATTGGTGGCCGGAGGGGCAGAGGGCCTGGTTCCCGATAAAGGCTTAGGGTCCATTTTAGCTTCTAATTTATTAAGACGTCCCAGAACCTCCTCCATAACAAGTTTGAATTGCTCCGGAACAGAGCGATCATCGATCATCGTTTTTACTTTCGTTTTCTTTTCTGTAGCATTACCAATTAAATCAGCAGAATTTTGTGAAGAATTATGAGTCAATTGTTGCGTATCTTTTACTACCTCTTCTTTTTCACTAATATCCAGAGGGAGATCTAGAATAGAGGGAGCCAGCTCCTTTTGTAAATTGCCAATCAACCTTTCTTCCTCCATGGCTTTAAACATTGTATATAAAATAGACCAGATAGACCAAAACTGAATTGGAATTTTTTCACCTTGCCTCATGGCCTTTTCAACATTGTGACGGACCCGTTTCCAATTATCTACATCCATAGATCCTTCCTCTGGGAACCAGGGATTCCATTCCCTGACCACCTTAAGACACATTTCTATATCAGAATGGGAAATATTAATACCATAGATAGCAAGTGAATGCCTAAGAATACGTAAAAAAGGAGAAGATGAAGATTGTCCCATCACCCTGTAATATAAAGAAAAAGAACTTACCCTTCCTGTCAATCCAGCAGGGTCCCTGTTCAGGCGCCAATTGTGAATGTCTAGAGCGTTCGGGTCCCTGGGTAAGGGTCGCGAAATAACCAGGACACAGGGGATGCAGAGCAAAGGCAGCAATTGCAACTGCATGCTGAGGTTTATTTGCAAGTTCCTTTTATCTACTTCTTCTAACAAAGCAAGCAATTCTTCAATATCACGTTGCCCACATTGCCCAAATATCATGCCTCAGCGGATACACAGAGCTAAATTCATATCATTCCTGTTTATTTGATAACTACCCTCTTAAAGTTCTTTGTAGACATTATCTAATCCCCTGAGGATGCATTTGTTTCTTTAGAATGTACTGTTCCCAGGATAAGTATGCAGGAAGCTTCTTCCTCTTGGCCAAACCATGTAGAACTTGTGACTTGCGATAAGGGGAAGAGAACTTTTCCTCCTCCTAACTGAGGTTTGCCTCAGCTGACCTAAATCACAACCACAGCTCTTGCAAAATGTCAGGCCTGAGGGAGCTAAACTCTGCACACTCAAACCCCAACACATTAGAAATCAATAAAAGAAACATAAGTTTTGATGTGGAAAGATACAATTTTCTAATACTAGAATCAATGATTTGAAGTAAAATGTCAAGACTTAGGAAAATCAGAGTGAAGAGTTTTCAAGTCACCTGCATTTTTCCACTTCATCTTAAAGGTGGGTACATTCAAGTCTGTTATAATTTGAGTTATTTCTTGACTTTGAGAGCTAGAATCTGATTGGTCCAATCCTGCCTATTGGGGTTGTCCCCATGGGTCAGGTGACCCCTTTATATCAATCAGCTATGGGAAAGTAGGTGGGGCAATTCCAGGGTGGTTCAGCAATAAGAGTCTCTTATTGTAGTTCAAACAAACGTAGCTCCCAAGATACCATAATATTAGCAATTCCAGGTGGAAGCTATAGGTGTCTAGTGAGCCCATTTTCTCCAAACTCCAACATAAGGAATAGAACCCAGAGAAACTAGGGAAACAAATTTTTTAAACAGCATTAATTGTAGTTTACTTGGTGATTTTCATTTGCTTGACTTAGTGTAACTAAGTGCAAATAATTGTGTATTTATTAATAAAGAGATCATTTAAATTTAGAAACCCATTTGGTGATCATTTCTAAGTTTTGTTAGTCACAGGTTGTCAAATGTCATGGGGGATAAATTTACTTCTAAGTAAAATATTAAAGTTTCCCTTGGAAAATCAACACAGATGACATGCCAGTTGACTATCCCAAGGTCCTTATATATAGTTCATTTATCCTTAAGCAATAGGTCATGGAGTGTAGATCTACTAGATCATCTTCATTGCTTTATGAACTTGTGAAGTCAAGATTGGAAATGAAGCTACAAATAAAACAGTATTCTGGCCAGATTTCACTGATCAACACCAGTTCATGTCCGACATGTCATATTCACAAATTCAAACCTTTTTTTCTTTTGTAATTTAATCTAATCCATTTTAATTTAATTACTTTTTTCTTTCATTGTGGACTGTCTAGATAGAAAAGGAGACCCAGAATAGCTAAATCAATCCTTACCAGAAAGAATGAAGCAGGTAGCATCACTATACCAGATGTTAAACTATACTACAGAGCAATAGTAACAAAAACAGCATGATATTGGCACCAAAACAGATTAAACCAGATGTTAAACTATACTACAGAGTAATAGTAACAGAAACAACATGATATTGGCACCAAAATAGACCAATGGTACAGAATAGAGGACACAGAGGCTAACCCACAAAATTATAATTATTTTATATTAGGTAGAGGCACCAAAAACATGCATTGGAGAAAAGATAGCTTCTTCAACAAATGATAATGGGGAAAATGGAAATCCATATGCAACAAAATTAAATTAAATCCTTTTCTCTCACCTTGCACAAAACTCAACTCAAAGTGAATCAAGGACCTAGGAATTAAACTAAAGATTCTGTGTCTATTAAAAGAAAAAGTAGGACCTAACCTCCATCATGTGGGACCAGGCTCCAACTTCCTTAATAAGACCCCTATAGTGCAAGAATTAAAACCAAGAATAAATAAATGGGCTGGACTCAAACTAAAAAGTTTCTTCTCAGCAAAAGAAACAATCTCTGAGGTGAATAGAGAGACTACATCTTGGGAGAAAATCTTTACACCTCACACATCAGATAGAGCACTAATCTCTAGGGTATATAAAGAACTGAAAAAGCTAAGCAACTAAAAAACCAAATAACCCAGTCAATAAATGGCCCAAGGACCTGAACAGACACTTCTCAGATTATAAGTTCAATCAATCAACAAATACATGAAAAATGTTCATCATCACTAGCAATTAGAGAAATGCAAATCAAAACGACTCTAAGATTTCATCTCACTCCAGTCAGAATGGCAGCTATTATGAAGACAAACAACAATAAATGTTTGCGAGGATGTGGGGAAAAGTTCCACTCATACACTGCTAGTGAGACTGAAAATTGGTAAGGCTAGCCATTCTGGAAAGCAGTATGGAAATTCCTTGGAAAACTGGGAATGGAACCACCATTTGACCCAGCTATCCTTCTCCTTGGTCTATACCCAAAAGACTTAAAAACAGCATACTACAGGGACCCAGCCACATCAATGTTTATAGCAGCACAATTCACAATAGCTAAACTCTGGAACCAATCTAGATGCCCTTCAGTAGAGGAATGGATTAAAACAATGTGGTATATATACATAATGGAATATCACTCAGCAATAAAAGAGAAAAATCATGGCATTTGCAGGTAAATGGATGAAGTTGGATAAGATAATACTAAGTGAAGTTAGCCAATCCCTAAAAGACAAATGCCAAATGTTTTCTCTGATATAAGGTGACTGACTCATAGTGTGGTAGGGAGGGGGAGCATAGGAGGAATAGATGAACTCTAGAGAGGGCAGAGGGTGGGAGGGGAAGAGAAGGGGCAGGGAGTTAGCAATGAAGGTAGAATGTGATGGACATCATTATCCAAAGAACATGTATGAAGACATAAATTGGTGTGAACATACTTTAATATACAAACAGAGATATGAAAAATTGTTCTCTATATGTATAATAAGAATTGTAATCCATTCCACTATCAGGTATTTAAAAAATAAAATCAACTAAAAATGAAAACAAAAAAAGAAAAGAGAAATACCACTTGTTCAGTAGAGGAATGAACAATTATGAAAGACATATACCCAACATTTGTCATTCCCACTAATTTGGAAAACAGAATTATTCAATGTTATGCTGAAAAGCACTGTTGCTTTAACTTTCCATTTTCTTTTCTATGTAGATTAGTTTAGACCTTATGATGTTTTTAGCTTTTATGCAATATAACTGTTGTGCTATACTAACTTCATGTGTTACAGTTTTTGTAGTTATTCAAAGAGTTTTCAGAAATATTATGTTAATATAAAAAGTGTGAAGGAGTAAAATATCTCTAGATATCTCAAAGATGACAATACAGAAGAAGACTGCAACTTAAAATTTATTCAGAAATAACATTTTGTGGAATCACAACTCAGTTATGTTCTTGTCTTTGTTTACCAAACTACTCTGTCTCTCCAATGGAACATGGCTCACTTTTACACTGTGGGCTTCACCCTGTCTGATTCCCAGATTACCTTTCTTCTCTGTCTCTTAGGAAACATGCTATTGTTTTTCCTTTGGCTCTGACTCCTCCCCTATCATTTAATCATTTAAATATTTTCCTCATTATTATTTTTCAACTATACATGTACAGTGTTGAGCCATTCTAGAGATTGCATGTTTTTTTTTTTTTCTTAATCAAGAAACTTTGTGAAAATGCTAGTGGTTTGCTCTGGTAATCTGATATGAAGCAAAACATTTTTTCACATAATTGCTAATGTTAATAGACAATTTCAATAAATGTTATTTTACCATTCTCTTGAAAATGATGAAAAATCAAACTTTCATAACAGAACTCATTCTTTTGGGGCTTTCACAGAATTCTACTGTTGTGTTTTTGTTAGTCTACATTGCAACTATTGGGGGCAATATGCTGATTGTAGTGATCATCCTCTGTAGCCCTGCGCTACAGAGCTCCTCAATGTACTTCTTGGCAGTCCCATCCTTCCCGGATGCATGCTACTCTTCACCTGTCATAATAAAAACGGTTGTGTATTTACTGTATGAGAGGAAAACCAACTTTTATGAAGAATGCATGATGGAACTGTTTGCTGAAATCATATTTCCTGGGGTGGAGTTGATTATCCTCATGGCCATGGCCTATGAATGCTATGTGGCCATTTGCAAGCCCTTGCACTACTCTTCCATCATGAACAGGAGGCTCTGTGGCATTCTAGTGAGTGTGGACTGGAGAGGGGGCTTCTTGCATTCCATGATACAGATTCTCTTTACTTTCCAGCTGCCCTTATGTGGCCCCAATATTATTGATCATTTTATGTGACATGTACCCACTACTGGAATTAGCCTGCACTGACACACATCATTGGTGATCGCCAACAGTGAATCTCTGCATGACAATTTTCTCCTTATTTCTTGTCTCCCATGCTGTCATCTTGCACCCTATGAGTACCCTAATTTCTGAAGGGTGGTAGATAACTCTGTCCACCTGTGGATCTCACATTGCTATTGTGGTTTTGTTCTTTGTTCAATGAATATTTACATATGCAAGACCTCCTTCTGCCTTCCCCTTTGACAAAACTGTGGTGATATTTTACATCATGCTCACATCCTTCCTAAATCCTTTGATTTGTATTTGGAGGAATAAGAAAGTGAAAAATGCAATGAGAAAAGTGGGGAAGATATTGAAGATAATTTCCAGTGGAATTAAAATATTAGACTTTATAAAAAGTATAAAAAGTAAAGAAATAAAAAT